GAAGTGGTGATGTTAAACACGTACTAAAGATATCTCAAGACAGTCAAAGCTTTGTTCAGAGACGGAACGAACATCAAGACCACCAGCATTCTGACTACCAAGCAATGCAGCATTGGTCAAAACAACTGCAGAAACCGCTAGTATCCCAAAGATTTAGGCGAAGTTATCGAATCTGGAATAATTTCTGAATAGTCACGGCTAACAAAATAAACATTTGTTTGAAAATGCAGTACCTTTAAGTGTGTGTTCTCAACAGCCAATTCGGCGCCTTCGGTCTCGTCCGCCATTTCTTTGAGCAAGTTTATCCCAACGTAATCCTTCTCCTGAAAAAGCTTGCAGTGTTGCTTAATTTAAAGAACAATTTGAATTCTTTTTTTGATTCGGTTAGTCAGAGTTTTTTTTTTTTGATTTCCGTCGGTCAGAGTTCAAACAGTTTTTACAAATTAGAGAGAAACAATTCAGTAACAAATTCTTTCATTAACCATGCATTTTTTTTTACTTCATTTAGATCCTCTCCAACTGGGGTGACAGAGAAAGAACGCAGCATGCTCAATTGATGCAAATTTTTGAAAATTGCTAATGCTTACAATCCTTATTGTTATCATTATTATTACTGTTATTATTATTCGCGTTATTAAATGGTATAGATGCATTCGGTTTGTAGAAGGCACCCCCGCAAAATCATTAACACGGGAAACCCATACTGACTGTCCGGGCAATCTTGGTAATATTGATATAAGTTATTAATAAACAAAAATCATCTGCCAAAAGATTATCTTGAAGAAACAAGTTATCTCTCAACAACTGTAGCAGTTCCAAGCTAACCGACCTTCGAAATCGTGATATTTTAAGAATGACCTCTTTCACATATCCTGCAAAATGAGGCTGGAAAAAAGGTACCGTATTATTGGCTTCTAAATGATGCACTTTATAACTGTCTTCAGTGACTAGCAATTGTTTGTGTTGTGTCAGCAGTTCATCATAATCAGTCCTCGGTACCGAGTGAAGAAGAACTGTCTGCAGACGAGCGATTTCAATGGCTGTCAGATCCTGAAACAATAGGTACCACTGAACAATACAAGAAGCGTGAAGCTTCCATGGGATTTTGCCTCTAGTAGCTTATTACCGTAATTATACGTAGAATCTGAAAAAGATGCTTGAAAAAATATGCCCAGCAGATGTGAGAGTATTCCGGTAACATCACTAGTATAGGCAGCTTCTCACACGGTCATGGTATACATCGAACAGGAATCGAGAAATCACTTCGAAATTCGATCCTGATTCTGCTCTCCTCTTCTAATATAAGGGAAAATCATGGAACGAATCTCGACCTAGGCTTTAAATTCTTCAAAATGCCTGAGCTAGAATCAAAACTCTTCAAAAACAATTCCACGATGTCAAGCTACAAAGGTTTTCCCACGACAGCGAGACATATGCAAATTTTTCAAGCAAATTCAGACATATCCAAAACAAAACACTGCTCGCTGAGCAGAGTAAAAGAAGTTTTGCCGATTTCTTTCAAAAATCAATCTAAATCTGCCTGCTGAATTATCATCGATGTGTTGCTTTTGCTTTTATAAACAGTTTCTGTGATAACAAGAATTGGCTAAGTCAATATTTCGGAAATTACGCGCAACTCTTCCAAGCTCTTTAGTTTTGAATTATATACCTTCAGTTATTACCCATGTATTTGTGCCATTTCTTCGAAAGTCAAATGTCCGAATGTTTGTTTTTCTCTCTCAGGGGGTTATTGCTACACCTCACAAATTATACACAAGGAAACCGGAGAAGGTTTTTACCAGTTCATAGCTAGCAATTTTGAGCTGTTTAACGTGCGCGAATCGCTGCTCCTCATAGCTTTTCTGAAGCTTAGCATGTCGTGTGCTTTCATCAGCCCGATTTCGTTCGATGGTTTGAAGCTTTCGCATCAGCTGAAGATTGCGCAGTCGTTCGGCGATCATTTGACGATTCATTTCTTCGAGCTTCCTCTCTGCATCACCTCCGTTCAGTCGTATCGATTCAGCTAGCCTCTGAATTGCTAGCTTCTTAGAATTTACTTTTTTGAAGTGAAAATCAAACTACTACCAGAATCAGGCTTTTAATGTGGAAATAGCAGAACAACAGTGTCAAACTGTGAAAAAGTAGAATAATGCTAACTCCAATTCGATAAATATCGGCCTCTTTCTAAATTAATATTACTGCTGGAAGAATCGCTGAGCAAATAATCTCTTCCGAATAAAAAACAAATGTCAGAATCGACAACAGACTGGTCATCACGCATGCAGCATTGGTCAAAGCAAAAGCTGCACAGTTAAAGGACTAAGCTATGACTTAAAGTTTTTGTCCGAATATTCTAAGTGCTAATAAAGAATTTATAATGAAAAAAGTAATTCGTAACTCCAAACAAATTCATGAAATATAGATAAAATGAAAGCACAGCGTTTTCCACCAGTTGGGGCATTTCCATTACCTGATATTGCTCAATTTCGACTTCATAGCGTTCGATTTTTTCCTGCAGTTGTTCGGCGAATTTACTCTGCTGTGTACCATCATATTCAGAGACATCCTTCTGTAAACTTAAATATCGAACTTTCAATTCATCCACACTGCTCGCTGTTTCCCTCATACTTTTCTCCATACGTCGTAGCTGTCGATTCTTCTCGTCCAATTCCTGGAAAATACGAAAATATTTATTGCGACCTAAAGTTAAAAGTCGA